CCCTCCTCGGCCTCCTAGAGTGCTAGGATTACAGGTGTGAGCCACTGCGCCCGGCCCCCCATGTACTTTTAATTATTATTAATGCATTTTAAAATTCAGTGATCGCTAATCATAATTATTCTATAACATTTAAAATGATGAGATAGTTTAATGCAAAATTTGAAAAAAAATTTAAAAGCTTACAGGTCATCAATATTTTTTTCCATTACTGTTTTGAGTCTACCAATCTTAATTATTTCTCTTTTTCTCTATGCTACTTATAATAAGAAGTTTCTTGTCTCACTTATGCTTTATGCATTGAAAACCTTTGGATTTGTGTGCAACTTCATCAGTGGTTCAGGTTTTCATGCTACAGACGTGTCAATATCTCTTAATGGTCTTTTTACACAAAGACTCCCAAATTATAACTGTTTTTTGAAAGGATTAGTAGACTTGTTTGCTCTTGTTTGCCTGTATCTTGATCACCTTTCTACATAAGTTGCCTCTTAGAGTATAAGAACCAAGAAAGAAAAAGACCATAGTGCTTTTAAAAATATATATTTATTGTTGTCTTATTTATCTTACTAGATCTGGAATTCTTACTTTGGGAATATCTTAAAATTTAATGCAAAAATCTTAGCATATTTGTTTAGGTATTTTTCTGGATAGAGTACCCATATTTTCATAGATCGAAAGGATCTATGGCACAAAGAGGCCAGGAACCATGTTCTTTGAGGACTAAGTTCATATCTGACCTTTTAGCTCTCATAGTGCTCAGTAGAGTGCTTTACAGATAATGGGTTCTGAGTTGGAAGTAATATGAGATTATAGGATAAGTATGTGAATAGGTATCTTATATTTATTGATTCTTTTAAGAAATTATTACAGCACACCTGCCATATGCCAGGTGCTATAAAAAAGACCAATCCAGTTTCTGCTCTCATAGTGTCTAGTAAAGGGAGACAGACAGTAAATAAAGCAGACAAATACATTTAATCGCAAAAAATGCTATTGAATTATGTGAATGTATGTGTGGCTCATCAGAAAATTCCACTTTATTGGGAAATAATGTTGTCAAGCTTTTAAAACTTGGAACCGAGAGCTGGTGTGTTCTTTTTGTAACAGTTCTAAGAGATCTTTGGGAAGGATGGAAGAGGCAATTATAGTCTTTATTTTTTCATTTTGAATTCTTAATTAGCTGTTCACTTTATTTTATATTTATAAGATTAGGAAGGAAACTCATTAGAAGTTCCTAGTCCTTCAGACCACTCTGCTGCTAGAGATAGGTACAGGACTGTTGAGTTCCCTGGTCTGCCCCAAATCTCTGACTTAGGATTCTGAATTTATTAGGACTTCTTCAGGGTTTCAACTCTGAAGTTCAAGGGAAAAGAAAGGCTTGGTCCTGAATACCAAGGACAGTAAAGTCATAAGTACTCAGTATCTTTGAAACTCTGCTTCTTTCTCCATTGCTCAGTAGGGCTGGCAGTTTGGCCACTGATACTCTTACATGAAAGTCCCATGACTTTTGACTTTTACTGGCTTACCTGGGGCCTAGTTCACAGCCTTGAACAAATCACTGATGCCAGTGGAATGGGTATTTGGATTGCTTGGGCATGAGTCACATAGTCACCTCCTCATTGTGTGGGCATGCGTAGGAGAGAGTGTGAGGAGAGCATGTGTAGGAAAGTGAACACTTAAAAAGAGCACATGGGCTAGTGTGAGAGGGTGGGAATGTATCAGAGAGAGTTGGCAGAAAGGGAGTGTGAATGTGTATTTATCATGAGGAGGCTGGGGGATTGGGTGTGGTATCAGCCCTGTATAAACCACATGGACTGGGTTCTTGTTCGCAGGAAATGGAGGCTTATATACATTCCAGAAGGGGATGCTGTGTAGACAGCAGTAATTGTACTCAATAGAGGGAAAGAGGGAAATACTTGGAAGTAGTTATCATGTATCTTTTATCTTCAGCTTCCTCATGAACTGACTATTTAGTGTTATATTTCTTTGCTCAGTTTGGGACAGGTTTAAGCTAAGTAGCTTAGATTTTTTTTTTTTTTTTCTGGGAAAATGACAATCCACTCCTCCTGGGAAGTGTCCCTTCTTTTGTTGAAACTAGTTCTAGTGGTGTAGTATGGCCATTTTACTCACGACTCTTGATATATCTCTTGGACTCTTAGACAGCAAGGGTTGTATATCTTAGCTCGATGGAGCTGCTAGCTCAATGTGTTCTATTAATTTAATTACCAAATGAAATTTGGAAGAAAATTAATGAACTATCCATCTTGTCTTTGCTAAAAGTTGTATATAAATTAAAATGTACCAAATAGTTAAAACCAAGTTTAGATTTTGTGCTGGACCTGCAGGAATCTGTAGACACAGACATGCCCAGTTTAACCTAGTTTTTTGTCCAGCCTCTTTCTAAAGTGTGTTATCTTCTAGGCAACTTCTTACGGTCATTCAGGCTTGCTGAGCTTAATTTTTACTTCCATTTAGTCTGCTCCTCAAGCAGGATGTTGTCTCTCTGGGTCTATATCTTTAAATCTTTTCCATTATGGAAAGTTAAATCCTGGTGATCTAACTACTAATTATGTAGATCTTCAGTTATAGGTATATGGGAGCTACAGTGAGGTAACTTTGTGATTGCTCTTTTCAAATTAAACCTTAGAAAGATGCAAGTTTTTTTGGAATTGGGTTATAACCAAATCTTGTCATCCTAAGAAGATTTGGTTGTAACCCAATTTTTTTTTTTTTTAAGTTGGGATGTGGTGAGGGGGAAGGGGGGAAGAAAAAGAGGGATTAGTAAGCGAAAGGGGCATTGAAAAAGGAGGGTCTTAATTGTCTCTCTTCATAA